TGTTTCCCCCTTTATAACATCTCTCTTCTGACAGTGCCATCAACCTAACGTAGGCCTGAATCACCTCATATCACATCACCTCACCTGGACTATTGCTCTCTACCACTTCTCTCCCCACTCCAATCTATTATCCACTCATTTGCCAAATTCATTTTCCTAAAGTACAAGTCTAATAATATCACCTCCCTGCCCCATTCAATCAATTCCAGTGGCCCCTAGTTACCTCTAGAATTAAGTATAAAATCCTCTCTGTTTGACTTTGATAGTCCCTCATAACCTGAACCCCCCCTTATCTTTCCAGTCTTCTTACACCTTATTCCCCTCCACATACTCTGCTTCAGTGACACTGGCCTCTTTGCACCGGTACAGGAAATTTCATCACTTGACAACATTCTTACTGACTCTCCCTTGTGCCTTAAAAGCTCTTACCATCTCTGCCTCCTGGCTTCCTAGGCTTCTTTCATGGCTCAGCCCAAGTCCCTCCTTCTTCAAGAAGTCTTTGCCAGTTCTCAATTTTAGTGCCTTTCTTCTAAGAAGACTGCCTCCAATTTATTTTATGTGTCTTGTTTGTTCATGGTTGTTTGAATATAATCTCTCCCTTTAGACTGTGCGTTCCTTGAGAGCAGGGACTGTTTTTTATCTTTCTATCCTCATTGTTTAGCACAGTGCTTGACTCACAGTAGGAGCTCAATAAATGTTAGCTGACTAACTGACTAGGGTATGGTGTGTGTGAAATGTAGTATGTACTCAGGTAAGTAAATATGAAGTCGATTGTGGAAGCAGAGAACGCTAATCCTTGGGAGGTAATGACAAGGAAAGGTAGAAGTGGAAGGGGGAAAAAAGAAACCAGGATAAACATTTAAAAATGAAAAAAACCAGCATGTGAAAGGGAAATCCAAAGGGAAGGGAAAAGGAATGAGTTGGATTTTTTGGGGAGGTGGGGGGAAAACTGGAGACTTTTAGAGGTGGAATTGAGGGAGTAAATTCCAATCATACTGGGGTGAGGGAAGAGGCAGCATCTACCAAGTCACAAAGATGGGAAATCTCAGGTCAAATTTTGGAAACTGAGTAGGCCAGTTTGTCTGAGTGTGTGAGGGGGAGTAATATGAATTCAGTCTGGAAAGTAGGTGGGAGCCAGACTGTGAAGGGCTTTAAATGACAAAGTGAGTTTTGTTTTTTTTTCTTTCCTTGAAGCAGTAGGCAGCTTCTGGAGATTTTTCAGCGGGGGGAAATGAAATGGTCAAACCTGTGGCTTAGAAAGTTTTTGGCAGCTATGTAGAGAGTGGGTTGAAGAGAGGAGAATCTGAATGCAGGGAGGCCAAATAAACTATTCTTATAGACCAGGTAAGGGGTGATGACCTGAACTAACTTACTGTCTTTGTGAGCAGAGAAAAAGGGACATGTTATAGAGGTAGAATCGATGATTTGGCAACTGATTGAAATTGGAGAGGAGATAAGAGAGTGGGAAGCTTCAAGAATTATTCTGTGATGATAGTTTTGATACACCCTACTCAAATTAATCAGTATTTATTTAGTTTATTGTGATTTGATTGGTATCAGTGATTGTATTAGTTAATTAGGCAGAATAGGATTACATTTAAGTGAGTTATGTACATTAATGCTGTTAGGATAAGAGTTGTGAATAATTTTTTTTTTTTTTGGTGAGGCAATCAGGGTTAAGTGATTTGCCAAGTGTCACACAGCTGGTAAGTGTCAAGGATCTAAAGCTGGATTTGAACTCAGGTCCTCCTGACTTCGAGGCTTTTTCTGCTGTGCTACCTAGCTGCCCCTAAGTATAATAAATGTATTATATGTGTCCACCCCGTATTGATGATATTACTTGTATTTGATTTATCAGCTAGATTCACATTGTTAGTTAGAAATATAATAAGAATGTAATTACTGAATGCCACTCCCCCTACCACAAACATGCACAAACCATAAGGTGCAATATCCCCTCACCCCTATAAATCACTACATTCACTTCTTTGTGACCTTTGCTTCTAACCCACAACATTTTTGGACCCTAGGATACTATTGGTCAAACACTAGAGTCTTATGACTTGTCGAAGTCCCTGAGATGTTGTTGAAAGGGTCTTATGACCTTTGAAAAGCCCTTGCTGAGATGACCTGGAGTTGATGACTTTGGAAG